TGCCACTCTTTATTCGTTGCGCTAACTGTCGCCTGTCAGTGGCAGACCCGCCCCTATTAAAGCGCCAGCTGAATTCAACAATATGCGTTTCACTGGATGGAATTTATTTGATTCCTTCGTGGTTTTTGCGATCCTCGGTACCACTTTATACCTGTGGACATCGAGGCTCTAATCCCTCATTGTGTCCGAGGACCGTCAACCCGAGGCCAAGGCCAAGGACTTGACTCCCAAGGCCGAGGCCAAGGCCAAGGAATTGACTCTCAAGGCCAAGGCCAAGGACCAAGGACCGACCTTCGGTCTTCGAGCCGGTCCTCGAGGCCAAGGACCGGCTCGAGGAACACATCCCTGATGACGACTGACAGAACCCTTTCTACAATGGTTTTCAGTTTATTGTTATGGTTCTGGGAGCAGTAACAACCAGCCAGCTAGCACTGAGTAGTTTACTGTTCATTCATTGTAAGACTAAAATGATCCGTAAGTGAAAACCCAAAGAATTATGCAATACAATCTTGATAAATTAAAAAAACGAACATATACAATATGGACAGATGGGTTCATCACACAAAGATTAAAGGAAGAGCGGTCACTTGGCTATTCTACTTGAATCTCTTTGTGAAGCGCTTTTGTGTTCGATTTAGTCACTCACAGCCACTCTCATTATTTTTATGCATAGTTGACCAAAAGGTAAAACTTTGAACCAGACTGTAGTTCTTGCGTAAATAAAAGGTGAATAAAATAAAATCTGTCTGCCTTCGCAACCTTATCTGCCAGTCATACTACCGGCGGAAGATATGATACATGCACAAAATTGTTACTCTCTGCAAAAGTCAAGGAGGAGAGAGTTTCTGCTTTCTCCTATGGAATATGAATTTTGAACAATAGTGTAAATTGTCATGCTTTGATTTCTAATGTGGCCTGTGCGAAATGGACATAATGTAAATGCCTTTTATTGGACTCATTTTCCAAGGAGATTAAAAAAAAAAAACCTCTGCATTCAAGCCATCCATGGAAAAGAAAAGAATGGGAAGCAACCATGGAGTGTCGTGTAAAACTCAAGGCTTGAAATTTAGCAAATACTTTTAATACATATACATGGATATATTTTACAAATGTATTTGTATTTTATTGAACCCTAATTTATCCAGGTAAGGCCGTTGAGAACAGATTCTCATTCGGAGGGCCATGTAACACACACACACACACACACACACAGCCAAATCGTTCATCCATATAATACATAGTGGCACTATTAATAACTGTTCGTGAATTTCTGGTTGATTAGTATTGTGAAAAAAAATTATTTTGAGGAGAATTATTGGTCTTTCTGTCCACTCCACAGTGTAGCCTGCTGTTATAACCCATATGAAATGTTTGCAGTCAATTAAACTTTGCAAATCGTGCTTTTTTCAGGGAACGAGAGACTACAACCCAAAGCAGATGGCAATAAGAGAGAAAGTTTTTAACACTATCATCAGCTGTTTCAAACGTCATGGAGCAGAAACAATCGACACACCTGTTTTTGAACTCAAGGTCAAGGTTCACCCAACCTTTCACAAATGTCAGTTGTTGATATTTATTTATCTTTGAGGCATAACACTTTGTATTTGTTGATATGTAGGAGACCCTGACAGGAAAGTATGGCGAAGACTCCAAACTCATCTATGACCTTAAAGACCAAGGAGGAGAGCTGCTGTCCCTCAGATATGACCTCACCGTATCCTTAACGTGTACGTCCATCCATCCCGGGTCATAGTCCAGGGGTGCTGAGGCTGACATCCAGTTCAGTCAGACTGAAATAAATGTAAAGATTAAACTCGAATGATACATTTTGTTTTTCCATGAGGGTGCATCCAGCAAGTCAAATAACGGACAACCAATTTAAGGCAGCATTTTCAATCTCTCAAATATCCTTTATCACAACAAAATGTTGGCCTTAATATTCTCACATTCAGGTGCCTTTTGCTCGTTACCTGGCGATGAACAAGATCACCAACATCAAACGGTATCACATAGCAAAGGTCTACCGCCGTGATAACCCTGCCATGACCCGTGGACGCTATCGAGAGTTTTACCAGTGTGTAAGTCCATTTCAATTGGTCCTATTCAATCACGTGTGACTCCTCTCTGCTGTTAACCTTTGACTGACTTGCCAAATTTGGTCGATTGGAAGTTACCTGATATTTAAAAGAATGTGCAAATGTTGGACAAGAAAGTATTTCTGTAATCTGTTTTTAATTTTTTTTTTTTTTTTAACCCTCTTCCTTTTTTGGTGCTGAAGCAGAAGTTGTGTCAAACATAAACGCTCAACAAGTTTGGATTCAGGTAAAATGAGAGAAATATGTAATATATAAACATGCAGCTAAGAAGTTTAGTTTTTACAATGGCTGGGGAAAAAAAGTCGACCACTTCCACCAAGTCAATCACAGAAATGGTCGATGCAAAACCTTTTTCCCTTGATTATTACATGGAGGTGTCATAAGGATAATTATTCTAAAATGATTTGATAGTGACAGCCCGAGTTTTTACAATATAATAGTTGGCCCTTGAAATGGTAGGGAGACATCATCATCAACTGTGCCGCATCGGTTCCAACTGGATCCACTTTGCCGATGACTTTGTTTCAATTGTTATTATTCTTTAGTTGTTAGGTTTTGCTGGTGTAGCAGGCATCACTCTTGTAGTGTTGTTGTTGCTTCATTGGTGGTCGAATTTAACTGCTGCATTTAATTCAAAATTCTTTGTGTTGTAGGATTTCGACATTGCCGGGCAGTATGACGGCATGGTTCCAGATGCTGAGTGTTTGAGGATTGTCCATGAAATCCTCAGCGAGCTGGACCTTGGGGACTTCCGCATTAAGGTAGCATCACGTAGAGTAGGGGTTCCCAGCCGTTTTTGAGTGAAGATCAGCTTTTTAAGTAGCTAACCTCACACGCTCACACATCCGTGTACACACGCACATACGCATGCCATGATGAGCAACAGCCATAACCGACCCTAACCTGGACGAAACAAAGAAATAAAGGACATACCGGAGTTTTTGAGTTTGTGAGAAGGTAATCACTGCCTAGCGTAGTGGGAAACCTGACACAGAGGCAAGGACGCGCTTTTGCAGTGTATTAAGTGCAGAAAAATCGCATGTCTTAAAATGCTTTTCCTGGCGCTCCAGATTGCCATTTTTTGACAGTGTTATCGGTGAATTGCAAACTTTGAATGACAAGAAACAAAAAATAAATACATCTCAACAGTTCTGATCGCTAGCTGCAGTTGTAGACTGGTGGTTGCTAACAACTTCCTGTGATGCAGGTCATGCACCACTGTAGGTTAATGGTGACCAATTTTTTTGTGAAAGTGAAACTGATGGGATGCTTATGGTGCAGTGTGCACTAACACAAAAATATATAATCTTCATAAAACGCACACGCACACTTTTTCCACTTCCCCCCGACACCTCTAGTGGTTGACTTTGAACCAGTCCACCTGATTACCAGTCGACCGCAATCAATTTTTTGGGCACCCCTCACACTGAGGATCTTAGCCAATTTAAATACTATCTGAAAATGAGCACAAGTACTTCAAGACGGCATCATCTTTTTTCTGTGTTTAAGGTCAATGACAGACGCATCCTTGATGGGATGTTTGCTGTGAGTGGGGTCCCAGATGACATGTTCCGCACCATCTGTTCAACAGTGGACAAACTGGACAAGGTCGGCAGAATTTCTTCTTTGCGTACATACCTGTTCATTTCCAGCCAGTTGAAATTCTAACGTCCGTTTTATATACCAAAGATCTTGTGGTGGATATATAAAGACTCAGTAGTGACGGCTTACGATGCTGACGCTAGCGTCAATATGAATCCAAACGGAGCTGATCATTATGATGAAGATAAATTAAAAAACAAAAAAAAAGCCATTGAGGCTCTATCCGCCTCACTGAAATTTGAGGCTGCCGCGTCACTGGAATGATATGTCTCACGTCATGACACAATGCCATAACCAGCACCGTGACCATCCACAACGCCATCTTTGATTAGTGCTCATGAGGAGGGAAAAAACAAAAAAGAGTTATGTTCAGGGAATAACTTTGATTGCACCAATATGTTTGAACAGATCGGTTTGGACAGTTTTCATAAACCATCTGTTCTATGCAGTTATTGTTGACACCTCACTTGCAAGATTAACATGTCGTCCTGTGTCATCATCACCCTTCTCATCAAGAGTCCATCTTCTCTTTTGGCCTTTTTAGGGCCATTCCAACATTTATGGGTTCAACTGTTTTCAACCAATAACTGTGTGAAGTACTCCTTTTAAAAGTTTCAACTCAGGCGAATGTGTTTACATTCTTCACTCTTCATTCTTCTTCATTTTTCTTTTTTTGCCACTTACTCGCGAGAGTCTAGTGATGGGAATTCTTGCTCTTTTAAGAGAACCACCTCTGATATCCTTGCTCACTTAAATAGTCTTTCGGCTCGCAGACAGCTCATAAGATTTTGTTGTTTTGTTGTTGTTGTTGTTGTTCATCCATCCATCCATCCATTTTCCAATCCACTTTATCCTCACAAGGGTCGAGGGAGGTGCTGGAGCCTATCCCAGCTGTCTTTGGGCAGTAGGCAGGGGACACCCTGAACCAGTTGCCCGCCAATCGTAGGGCACACACAGATGAACAACCATCCACGCTCACACACACCTAGGGACAATTTAGAGTGTTCCATTAACTTGCCACGCATATTTTTGGAATGTGGGAGGAAACCGGAGAACCTCGAGAAAACGCACGCAGGCACGGGGAGAACATGCAAACTCCACACAGGACGGCCAAGAGCCGGAATCGAACCCTGCACCTCTGCACCGTGAGGCGGACGTGCTAACCAGTAGACCGCTGTTGCTTAAATTAATTTATTACAAAGGATAACAAAAAAATTGTGCCTCTACTAATGTAAAAAAAAAACAAAAAAAACATGCAGTTTTATTTATTTTTTAAGTCTTCATTTATTTCCTCTACATAATGCTGAAAACATATCCATCATACATCGAGATGCATGCAGCATATACAGACACAAACTGCTGTCTAGTGTGAGAGCCCTCCCATACGAACATGTTGCCTGTTCCTTTTCTCCCCCATCAATCTGCCTCGACAGCAATGGGGTTGCCGGTTATACTAGCTAAGTGCTGCAAGATAGTAAGCCATTTCAAACAAAGCCCGATGAGTATCACAGAAGTTTATAAGCAACAAATAGTAAAAAGAGTGAGCAATGTATTTAAATAAAAACACCACTAGTTAACATGTTTTCTCAGCATTTCTTAAATGAGATCAGAAAGTGGATTAATTACATCCAATAATTACAGATCATAATCTCTCTTTTTTTCCTTGTCAGCACGAACACACACACACACTCACACAGAGCTTTTTTTTGGAATGTGTTGCAGCCATAAAATTTCAGTTAATGATTATTTGTTCAAAATACTAGTTTATCAGTTTGAACATTCAGGTCAGTATAGGTTGAACATGATTTGCAAATCATTGTATTCTGTTGTCATTTATGTTTACGGCAGCATCCTAATTTTTTGGGAATTGGGTTTATACTATAAATACGATGCTGTCGTGCTATTTCATGACGTTTAATACGCCCATTGGCAGCGTGAATGCCTGTATTTCACACTGCAGTCTCGAGTGCAACAGGTGTGAGAGGGGTAGAGGTAAGATAAAAACAACGCAGCTAAAGTTGGAAATTCTGATTGGCTGGTAACTTTACAGCAGTGTTTTTCAAAGCGTGTGCCAGTGTGCCGCAGCACAGGGTTAACACTAAGATATTGTCAGGTGTTACCGTGGGAAATTATACAATGTGTACAATGCCAGTACAATACAAGGCCTGTGCGGTCGATCGCCTGGAAGAGTAATCATGTAGAAGTCTTCCATACCGGTAGGGAGCAACAGCAGCTTGGAAATTGCCTTATGCTTCGAGACAATCGAAGTTTCCGACGCGAGGCAATACAATGAAAGGTATCTTTCATTTAGATGTACGTTTACTGGAGATGCAACGGCACCAATGTTCCCTCGAATGAAGTTTGACTACCGGAATCTTATGATGATCAATTGCCATTACCTCTGTTTTTTTTTTCCTCCCGTCCGCTCTTTCATCTTCCACTCATCTGTGATGCGCCCTCTCCCAGATGCCATGGGAGGATGTCAAAAGAGAGATGGTGAATGAGAAAGGCTTGTCAGAGGAGGCTGCTGACCAGATTGGGAAATATGTCAGTATGCAGGGTAAGAGTCCAATCGTATGAGACTAAATATTGTCATATGATGTCTGAGTGACATGTTTTATTTGCTGGAAAATACAGTGCTATAATCCCCTTCCCCAATACAAACTTGCTGAAGAAGAAAAACTGTTTATTTCCACTAGTATGCTCGGAGTTGAATGCACAGGAGTCAAGAATGAGAAGATGCATATTTCTTTACAATATTTTTATTACTGATAGTATTGTATGATGGTTGAGGCCTGAAGACGTTATTCTACACCATTGACTACTTCTTCGTGTTATTATATTTTATTGGTCGCACATTTTTAATGCCTTACTCCTTTGACTGATTCTCACCATTCAGACTTCAATGTATTCCAAAAATTCACGGTTTTCCCTCTACATACCTATGAATGGCAAAAATTCCCACTCACCAAAAATTCAATATTTTCCCCATTAAAATATCCACCAAAAATATAAAAAAGAAAAAAAAATTCAACATTTTGTTTTAACCACTTCAACTGTGAGAAATTTAAACTGCTCAGCTTTTCCTTAACGATGCCAGGGCAATGACACAGGCAAATAAAAATGTGGGGACAGCACTGACACTAAACCCCAAAATATCCTGCGGTCTTGCAAATGGCCCCGGGCTGCGATTTCGAGACCCCAGCCAAGGGAATGTGGTGATAACTAGGAGTTGTGATATTGAGAAGAGGAATTTTCACAAATACTGTACAAAGCTTTCAAAGCAGTCAGCAAATTTTCAAGTCATAGTTTCATTGGCGGACATTTTTGTTACATGTCCAATAGTTACATGTCTATTTTAGCACTTCTTGATCTCCTTTTCCATGAATAAGGTAATATATGCAATTCTAAATAAATACACTACACTACTAAATATACACCAGTGTTTCTCAAATGGGTCAACTCCACTCATTTCTGTTATCTGCACAACCATTGATCCCCGGCCCCTTCACCAATTCATATTTGGGAGGCATGCTGATAACAGTCTTCTCTGGGGTGTGTCAGATTCACGACACATTTTTGTTTTCACTTCACAGCTACTTAAAGAGGTAACTGTTTTTGCTTCTTTTTCGTTTGTTTTTTCTTTGTAGGTGGGATGGATTTAGCAGAGCGCCTCCTTCAGGACCATAAAATGTCTCAGAGTAAGCAAGCTTGTGCAGGCCTATCAGACATAAAACTGCTCTTCAGCTACTTGCAACTTTTTCAGGTTACAGACAAGGTACAAAATTATCAGTCATATACATCCAGTTCTGTATATCATGTATGTGCAGTTTTTTTTTCATCTTTGTTGTTGCTCAAATGTTGATATCTTGTCATCCCCAGGTGGTGTTTGACCTCAGTCTAGCTCGAGGGCTGGACTATTATACAGGAGTTATATATGAAGCAGTGTTGTCTCAGCCGGGTGTACAGTCCTCTTCCAATGAAGTTCAAAACGGTTCCCCTGCTGATGAGTGCATTAGTGTGGGAAGCGTTGCTGGAGGGGGTCGTTATGATGGCTTGGTTGGCATGTTTGACCCCAATGGGAAGAAAGTACCATGTGTGGGTGTCAGCATAGGCATTGAGAGAATCTTCTCCTTCATGGAGCAAAAAGCTGAGGTATGTATGGAGTAAGTTTCTGTTTCTGAACTGTAATTTTGTGTGTGTGTCTGTGTTTGGGGGGAGAAAATGCTATTTCATGTTCAATGTTATTGTTTGCCTCAGGTCAGGCTGAAAGTGACTGTCAGATTCTTTTCCTTTAGGCTTTAGCACTGAAGATACGCACAACTGAGGTGCAGGTGATGGTGGCGTCTGCGCAGAAGAACTTGATGGAGGAGAGGCTCAAACTTGTCACTGAACTTTGGAACGCTGGGATCAAGGTTCGGCTTTTCGGCTGTATGTCATCTGCAATTGTTGAGTTGTCTTGACACCACTATGAATCATTTTATACAGAGACAGCAAACCGACAATCACAAGTACCCAGGGTCTTGTCTCTAAACAGACTCCACAGACACTTCGTTATCTACTGTTGTTTTCTCATTTGTACAGAAAGGGAAAAAAATTGAAATGTTTGTGTAAAACAGGAACAGATTCAAAGCAGTTTGGCGAATCAGTGACTTCATCTCAAGAGCAACTTTCAAATTTTGAGGAGCAATTTTTTGATGCTAATCCCAGGGACCTGAAGCAAGTGTTTTATTAAACAATAGAAATACAACAATATGAGGGGTAATTTAATGTCAGGCTGCGTCTATTGAACATTTCAGTATTCTAGTATCAAACGGAAAATTCTCGCCAATATTGGATTGGATTGGATACAACACAACGTTATTGTCAAATGTGCTGTATGTGTAACATACAGTAACATACAGCACAGATGAAATTTCTTCCCTCCCAACATAAAACAAACAAACAAACATATTCTGATACACTATTTTTTTGCTTGGTCAAAGAGCTACATAAAAATAAAATGAGACAATTTTTATCCAGTCCACCACTGCATCTCGCGATTCGGCACCCACGGATTCACATATTTACATTGTTTTTCTTCTTTTGTATTTTTTTATTTTTAAGTTATTGCACCCCCATCTTTCCTATTGTTCGTGGAAAACGTTTAGCAGTGTTTATTGTAGAATTTTTGTGGGGTTGGTCTAATTCTTTAGACAGACCATCCATTGGTAAAGGAATGGGTGACATGGTTTCGCCCCATTTAATGCAAAAAAAAAGAGAAAAAAGTACATACTGGGATTGAATGTTTGGATTCTTAAAAGACAAAAATATGTCATTGGCAGTGAAAGGACTCTAATAGCATTCATGAGCTTACAAATAATATCAAACATTGCTGTACCATTTGTACCCCTGAAAAGAGAAGATAGCTTTCATTCTTTTTCCCCCCTACTGCAAAATAGGTGAGTTTTAATGCAAATAACAAAGGGTCGGTTCCTAAATAAAATCAGCAACTAGGCACTTTTGCGAATACAACTACAAGTCAGAGGCTTGAGTTGCACTCTCTTTGTTCATGGGTTAGCATGTAGGAAGCACAAGGATGTTACACTTCCTGTCTCTCACGTAATGTGTTCCTTGTGGGAACCTGCATCATTCAGTATGACTCTTACAAGTGTTCTAAACTGCCAAATCTTTATTAATATGCTCTTACTCTCCTAATAATCAGTACTTTACTCAATTCAGTATGCTAATGCGCAAATTTTTGTGTTTGTATTTCTGTGCATATCTGAAGGCAGAGGTGATGTACAAGAGGAACCCCAAATTGCTCAGTCAGCTACAGCACTGCGAGGATTCAGGGATCCCCCTTGTGGCCATTCTTGGTGAACAGGAGCTGAAAGATGGTGTGGTCAAACTCCGTGTTGTGGCCACCAGAGAAGAGGTACAGTGTGCAGTGCGTTCTGAAATTATTCAACCCGTATTCAGTTATCTCCAGATATTTTTGGAATTCAAAAAAACAAACAAACCAAAACAAAAAACAAACAAAAAAAAACTTGCAGAGTTGGGCAATAAAATAAAGATACTGTAATTCATATCGTAATTCCTGGACTATAAACCGATACTTTTGTCACTCGCTTACAACCCTGTGGCTTATTTAATGATATGGCCTTTTTAACGATTTTTCCAACGGCCGCCAGGGAGCACCCGAGCAGAAAAGGTAACAAACAGTGAGATGCTATCATGTGGCACAGTGAAAACAAGCGACCATGAGAGGGCGCGTTTCACCTGCGTTTTGAGCTGGACTGAAATCCAAAAGCTGTGTGGCTGGGTCGATGACAGACTTGATCGAACACAAAATAATTTTTATGAAGGCTTTATTCCCGACTGAATATAGAAAATGTACAGCATTAATAAAAGACTGAGATATGTCAAATGGGACTAACAAATAGAAAATCAGACAAAAATAGACAACAGTAGTGGCTTGTGAGCACTGTCCGGCATGTTGTATGTGCCCGAAACATGCAGAAAAAACGAATCTCCCCTGCTTCACGGCTGTTCACATGACCCACCATGCGTCACCGTTCAAACTCCCAGACAATGATATTTTACTCTTAATATCAGCCGGGTTACAATGCCCATTGCAGATGCATCAGGTCTGAATAAGCACAGCTCAGCGTTCTTCTTACTTTGTGGTCCAAGTCCCATGAGATTTCCCAAGAGATTATCCAACGGTCCTTTTAAAGTCACAGTGCTCCATTTATTAAATCAGGCAATGTTCACTACAACAGTCATAGTATTGGAGATTATAGGATGGTAGAAAGCCTAATGAAGGACTGGTTGACCGAATGTTATGGCAAGCGAGGATTTTTTCATTTTAAAACAAAGCATTACTCGACAGGGAACGGTGACTTTTTTTTTTTAAACCAGCCGTGTGAGTGCCGCATTCAGGCATTATTTGGAAAGAAAAGTTAATGTATGTTATTATTGTTGAAACCCAGTGGCGGGCCGTGCATTTCAACCATAGGCCTTCAGTGACGTCACATACATGAACACAATACTGTATAGACTCGTCAAGCAGCACTTAATTTCAGGAGCATTTAAAACCATCAAGTATGCATTCACAATTGAGAGCAGGAAACTAAATTTACAGATAGTCAAAAATAAAAAGATGATTTAAAAATACGAATTAAAATGCCACCCAAATTACGCTGTGTGATCTTAAACAAGTCTGTCCAATAAATTGCGCAATGTCGCAGTTTCATATAAGACACCAACCAAACAATAACAAAAAAACTATTCTTTAAAAATAAAGAGATCATTTGCACAACAGCAAATAACTGAAAATGTTGAGCAGCTGAGATTGAACGAACTTTCGTGCACGAAGGTGACTACAATGCGCCATTATAAATTGCAGGTGAGCAGATTTATTTGATACATTTTTGTATCTTTGTCATTTTATTTCATTACCATGAATTTAATACGAATGAAATAAAATGACAAGAAGAAATGTAAAATAAAATTCATTGACTCACCAATGTAGTTCTTGTTCACTGAGGTGCACATCTACGCGAGTGTCCCCAAACGTTTTTAAACGCACCGTAGCTTGTAAGTGCCCAGCTGTTTCCTTGCTGCCCTAGTAAAACAATCCAGTGTGGCTCCAAACACCAAATCGGTCAGTTGCAAGCAATAGGCATTCCCAGCAGTACGAGTTGCAGCATTTCACAGAGGCTGTGAGCCACGGGTAGCGTTCATAATTGCTCGTCTGAAAACGACGGACAACCCCTTTTCCTTGCTGGGACAGGTTAGCTAGAGCAGGAGTTGGGCGACCTCTTCGCACAACATCCAGCTTTTGGTGGAAGGTCCGTCTTGAAAATTGTGTGGAAAGTAGTTCCGCAACCAGATCAACATCTTCTCCTTCAGCCATTTTGGGTTAAAATGTGAGTGACAGCTCTAGCAGACGCGAATCCAATCTTTTTTATTTTTTTTTTAAATCTTTATTGAACAAGTCAGGATACAATTCTCAGGAAACAGAAAAGGCGCTAATCCAATCACCGAACGCGCACGGCCAGTCTCGACGTAAATGACATGAGAAGAGTGACGAGTCAAATGAGAGAAAGTTCCTGCTCTACACATACCTGGGTCTCTGGCAGTCACTTCGTGATCTGATTGGCTATTGAAGCCTGACTGCCCGTTCATTTACAGCGCACAGGGGCCAGCTCTGTATAATCTGAAGGCCCCGTGCAAGTTTAATTTACCTGGCAACACAAGCTAGCTGAAATATGATTGGTTAAAAACTCTACCATAATAAATAAGTTATTTATCGAGTGGCTTTCAATGTTATGTAAAATAACATTGAAAGCCACTCGACTAAGTGGAAATAATATGACGTAAAGAATACAGAGAATAATTTTGTTAACATATTTATGAAAATAAAATTACAAATTTATGTTATTCAGTAAATTTACTTTTCTGAGAATGTTTAGGCCAGCAGAGAAGGCCTTGCTGGCCCTGAGGGTCCGCCACTGTTGAAACCTCTTTCTGCGTGCCGTCTTTCTTTGCAAATATCTTATGTTACCATATGAGCACCTGTGGCTTATAGACAGGTGCGGCTTGTGTGTATACAAAATGTTTTTTCCTTTAAAAATGTAGTGAGTGCGGCTTATAATCAGGTGCGCTCAATAGTTCGGAAATTGCGGTAGGTTTGACCGTGAACAGTTAATATTGAACACATCCGCAGTCGGAGAGTACGTGTACACTTGTAGGTGTGAACACTGTGCATCCACATGATCTTAATTCAGGGGTCTCAAACTCAGTTCCTGGAGGGCCGCTGTCCTGCATGTTTTCCAAGTCTCCCTGTTGCAACACACCTGATTCAAATGAACAGGTTCAATGTCAGGCTTCCACAGAGCTTGCTGATGATCTGTTCATTTGAATCAGGTGTGTTGCAACAGGGAGACTTGGAAAACATGCAGGACAGTGGCCCTCCAGGAACTGAGTATGAGACCCCTGTTCCTTAATTGTTTATTTTTACTTTCACCTTGTAAAATATTATTGTTTATTCTTCAGTTGAGTAATACAGGTTATAGGTCACATTAAAGTGGGGGACAAAAGTGATTTGTCCAGTTTTTTGTTGATTTGGTAATTGTGAAAAACCTAGCAGTTGAACTGCTTTGTGTAGACTTTTTAAATCCGCTGCAGTTTCACCGACACTTGGAATAAACCACTCGATCAAGGGTCCATATTTAGAATTATTTTATTTTTTTTAAAATAAACCAAACGTCATGTTCACAAACTCTTAAGACACGGTCAACCCATTCATGTGTAAACACATCCTCAAGGCTACAGTGTATATTTCAGTTTTTATAAACTAATTCAAAAGAATATACGCTGAAACAGGTAATCACAATTACACATAACCACTAATTTAGTGCCTTAGTTTTCCTGACTGTTTGCAAGAAATGCTGTTATGGCTGTTATTGGAGAATGTGAAAGGTATGATAGTGTTTGGTCCCAGTAGCCCTTGCACATCCCATCCTGTAGACTTTGGCCCTCTGGCTCCTTAAGTCTCGAACTTCGGTCTGAAACTCTCCTTTCTCAAGAGCACTTTGAAACAGTAAATGATGCCTTCATCATGTCTTGGCTGGATTACTCTGATGCACTTTACTTTAGAGTAAGCCACTCCTCCATTAAGTGTCTCCAGTTTGTCCAAAATGATGCTGCTCGCCGCTGGACTGGTACTCGTAAGAGGGAGCACATGACTCCAACTCTGGCATCCCTTCACTGGCTCCTGATACATTTTAAAGTTCTTTTAAAGATCCCATGATTTGTTTTCAAATCTTTAAATGGTCTCGCTCCACCTTACCTCTCTGAGTTCCACGGCCCCTACACACCTGCCTGGTGCCTCAGGTCTGTGGACCAGACATTATTAGAAGTACCAAGAACTAAACGGAGGCTCAGAGGGGATCGAGCCTTTTCCGTTGCTGGTCCCTCTCCTTGGAATGACCTCCCACTGAACATTCAGCAAGCTCCCTCGCTGCCCATCTTTAAAACTCGTCTCAAGACTCATTTGCAGTCTTTGGCTTTTGACTCAGCATGACTTAGATTTGATCTTAGTTTTACTGTTTTTGTGCTTTCTATTGTCTTTGTTATTAATTTATTATTTTATTTATTGTTTTATTGTTGTATACCGGTATATGAAATTTGCTCCATGTATACAGCGGTGCCTGTTTTAAAGTGCTCTGTAAATACAGTTTGAGTTGAGAATTAATGTGTGTTGATATGCAACTGCACTACATAAAATCTGTTTCTCATATTTTGGTTAACATATCTACATGAGAGGGTTAAAGTATTCGAAACAGATCTCGGCACAGTGCATCACAGTTGGAGACCAATGGAAACTATAATACCACAGTGTATTTTAGCAACGCTCAAAAAATATATATATAT